GTAGTAGAAGAATTAATTCATCTAACCAGCTGCACAACTCTGAGATTGAAGGACGCGTTTCCGTACGTTTTAGTGCCTCCTTAAAAAAGAGATCATTTGTTGGTGGAATTTTTTCGTAAAACCGAAGCACTTCATTAAATCCATTCACAACTTTTCCGACTTGAAATTCATATGAATTCAGAAATGACCAGATTTCCCTACACTTCCTTGTGATTTCAGCGTCTATCTTCAATAGCAGCAACTGTCGGAAGTTACTGATTGAAGCAAAAGACGTATTGGTAAGAGACGCGGAGCTGACCGAACGTCGCTGTTCAAGCTGATTGAAAAGAGAAGAGGACAGGGCTGTACCGCCGTTAAAATCGGTGAGCAAACCAATTGTGTCTATTAAAGACGAACATACAGTAGCAAGAAGGCTTAAAATTTTCTTCACATTATCTTCCTCAGATGACGCCATTATGTGCTTCCTAAAACACACAGAGCCTTAAACAACTCATGCAGATGTTACAACTCGCAGAAACGTGTTTTTAGATTAGAAAAACTCCAAAAATGCAAAAAGAAACAACTGTCGAGAGGAATAAGAACTTTAATCATGGCTCGAATCACGGGAAGCCTCAACTGCGAGGCAAAAACAAACAACATGGCAGAGATTTGAAATTTTAAATTGACTACAATGACTCGACAGTACCAAAAATGGCATAACAATTTTAAGAATGTATTGACAATGTGCGATGCAATAAAACATAAAATAAAAAAGACAATAGCACCAGTTTTCGCTGGAAAAATCTGCATAAAATGAAAACATGTAGGAACTAGCATTAAGTAGAGAAGGATTAAAAGACTAGACTAAAACATGTCCTAAAATTAAGGCAGAATAAAATGACACGACAAACAAACGGGTCAAGGATCAACAAAAGAAACCAGTATGTAGCGGACACCCTTCTTGGTCGGCAAGCCTTCGTGTAAATGCGTAAGTCTGCCGGGGTGCAAAACCGTCCAACCAGGTATGGTATCGACAACGGAACAGTTATATCGTACATACCGGACACCACCACCCTGCGAATAAATGTCAACGCATATACCGTCTTTCAGTTGAAAACTTACTTCATAATCAACTCCAACTTGATTTAGAGCCATGTCTACCGTATAAGTGGAAGCATCATGGTGAGGTCTTAGGGAAGCCTGCTCATCCGGGTGGTAGCGGACGACAAAGTTCATAATTGCTTCAGGGGGCTGAAAATCATATGCTTAAAAATGGTACTTTAAAATACTTCACATATCACTGATACCTGCTTGTAATAGCCGACAAAAACTATCTCTTGCACGGGTCGAATATATGTGTCTAGGATATAAAGCCACTGCCGCTCAAATCCGACCTGGTTCATATGAATGTCACGAGTCGGTACGTTTTCATATCCGCCTGTTAAACGATTATCCTAAAGTTTGCACATTTAACAAACGTGTCATATAAATCATAAAATTAAGATTAAAGATTCTTGGTGATGAAGAAAGAGCTGATCAGTCGTAGTAAATTATCTGATCTGCCCTTAAATCCGTCTGTACGTCTACCAGTCCTTACAGAGAATAGAACTGGATACTGGAGAGCAAGTGCGCGATGATAGAATCAAGCGGCAGAATTTATCCCACCGACTTCAGATCAACAAGCAGAGAAATGTGTAGCAAATTGCTGACCGGTGTGACCTGAGAAATGGTGTTTCGGTGCAGCCACATCAGAGATTTCCAATTCGCAGTCATATAATGTAAATGGAGCGCTCTTTACAACTGCAGCTTTTATCAGCACAATATGAATATGAAATTTATGTAAAAACAAATGAAGATCCTTGTATGCGCTTGCAGAAAGTGACATCATAGCTTTCGAATCGCTGCAACGTAAAATTTCTTTGCATGTCAGATGTTCCTTCTCCAGATCGAGTGATCACAATTGCGGCTATCTTCCTAAAGTCATTTGTCAGGCGGCTAACAGAGAGACCAAGAATCAGATGGCTCTAGTACACCGAACACTTGTATGGATTCGTACAGGAATTATACCAGATTGGCGGAGGACGGGTACCATTAGTAATGCCTCCTAAATCTGCTGTCATTACCCCGTGAAAAGAATAGTACATTGTGAGAATCAATGAACAGATAGATTTGTTCAAGGAGAGTAATATCATTCTTTATAAGTAAGCCAACCCAAGCATGTTATTGCCATTACAAACATTATATTTTGTACCCTGATGAAGAACGCCGTAAAGTGGATTAGAAGGTTGGTTTTATTCAGTAGAGTAAAAAAATTTTTACTTCCTTGGATGGAAAAGAATGGTGACGTTCAGTCGCCCAGAGGATGGCGTCGATAAAAGTTTT